AGAGTGTTTCATAATATATATTGACATAATTTCAAGAATGAATTCGGAACGGAATGAATGGACTTAAAAATAATTCAAAGATTCATATAAACATTTGATCTTGTTTCTAAATTACATTTTCGTGTTTTAATTCTTCACTCAAAAAAAGTGATCTTGCAGTTATAGCGAAAATTATCTAAGTACGAAAAATTAGCTAAAATAGATAAATTTCTAAAGAAGAACTGCGATGTTGGATATGTATTGCATCTAATCTAATAGATGGCAAATAGATGACAAAGATAGAATTTAGATTTATAAATTCTATGCGTATGATAATTTTCTATCAGATACAAAAAATAATTCTAACTGGAGCAGCAAAATATTTTTTTATGTGTTGTTGTATTGTATAAACTGAACTAGAATAGCATCTTCACACATTTCTGTCTTACTAATAATCAGTAAGATGCGAAATGCGAAGATGCGTGACGATATGTTAGTTTAGTTTATTAACGAGGATTGGAGGACTTGCTGTCACAAATGTGGCTAACCTACATTTTGTAAAAACAGAGTAAATGAACTTTAAAGTTGAAGTGATGAAAAAAATACTAATATTATTTTAAAGAAAAAATAGAAAAAATATTAATTATTTTAATTTTAGAGTTTATTTAATTTGTTTTTACAAAATATGGATTAGCTGATTGTTAAAGGAAGTCTTTCATTTAATGAAACACAAAAATGTTTGTAACTCGGTCAGATAGAACTAATGTTTGTATGAACTGTTTATATTATTTTTATGACGCATTCATTTCTAAGATTATATTCACATGTGAAATATCCTGTATATACAATATTAATTGATGTATTATTGGCTAAAGCAGATAGCAAAATAAGATAATGCCGCAAAATACACAGAATTCTGAAACAATAATTTCCGCTACAAGTTCATATACGAAACTTACGTTGCGCTCCGACGATATACAAGGTCAGTAATTATCTGCTGCAACCGCGCTATCGCTTGCGTAAATCGTTGGTTTCGTTGGAAGCCAACAATTTCACGGGAGTTGTAATTTATCCAAGAATTCATTGCACCTACGGCCAATTGGGCTAATTGATAGTATATGAATTTAATTCAACTAAATGGTAATACTCTGTGGTATGTGGCAATAGTGCGTATTAACGCACTATTTCTCGGCACGTAGTCTTATACAATCGAGAGAATAATAGTACCAATATTAGGAAGTCTTTGTTACTTAATAAGATAAATGAGCTGGTGGGAGCTAATAATACTGTCGAGAATTGGATGAGGGCTAAAGAAATTTATGAATGATCGCGCGGCGTTTATGATCCACAGAATTTCAACAAGCAACGTTGAGGTGCTATTTATTTGAAGTTTACTTTAATATAAACTTCCATATATATATATATAGAAGTATTAAAATCATATACACTATTTATGAAAATATAAAATAAAATAATTTAGTGCCCAAAAATTTGTATTTATTGAAGCAGCTAAAATTAAAATTAACCAAGAAATTAAAATCGATTCTTGATAAAAAACGTAACATGGAAATTAATTTACGCCGTTTTTACGGTATTTTGCTATCTATGACTTGACATCTATCTACAGGGAGAACGTTTTATTTTTATAATCTTCCATTCGCGATTTGCGATACAAGACCAAATGGGTTTATTGCGGATTTTAATAACTTTTCCGATCGATCTAATAGTGTGCGGATAGCAGTACGGAATTAAAGAATGTAGTAGCGTATTTATGAGTCTCTCTTAATGCTCATACATTTTTAATATCTCCTGAAATCCCTGTTTTTCTTTCTAAAACTTGAGCAGCACATGCATTTATTTACGCAAGAATTACTTTAATGTTTATAGCCCAAAAGAATTATTCGCGGATTTTTTCTTTGCTTTAATGGACCGCATGAACATTTCCATGACGAAAAGAGAAAATTAAGATAGGCAGAAGTAATGTACTTCTTTAGGGTGAAATTAAGATGATCGCAATTAAGATGCAATTAAGAGTCATATGCAAGTTAAAACATTATTAGGATACAAACTCAAGAATTAACTTATTTAATTAATCATTTATGATATATAAACGTTAAACTTGCAACTGTTTATTGTAAATTTCTACAATTTAATAAGTCATTACATTTACATTCATGTAACATGATTACACTTATGTAATAAATAATACTCAAATATAAGAATCTAAAAGTATGGAAGTTCACGATTTTGACAAATTAATTAAAGGGAATATTATATTAGGGATCATATATTTAGATAATAAATGACCCAAGTATATAAATTTAGAAAATTGTTAAGAACAACGATCTCTAAGAATTTAATTAAAATTCAATTGTAAGCTTCCATACTTTAAGATTTTTATAGGAAATGCGTAAAAATCTATAAAAGATCTTAGTATCTCATATTCAAAGATGTTTGGGCGTTACATCTTTTCTGCGAAGCCAAGTAGGCAAATCAGTTCTTTAGATAGTGCTTTTAAAGGGATGAGCAAGGAAGGATGGAAAAGGCGAGAATTTATGTAGTAATTTGTGTATATGACTTGAATAACTACCTACATAATATAACGTGGTTGAGGCTGGAGAGCGACGACGGTAAGCAGACGACGCTCTCCGCGATGGAGCTTTAATTAAAATTACGTACGTTTGCCTCTCGTAACATGCACACATTACTCTCTCGCCTTCTCCACACTTCTATTTTATATTTTTATGAGCTTTTCATTAAGAACGCGCGTATGCATGCGTGTGTCTAAGTGTGTCGTTTGTATGCGAATATGTAGTACATAACGTATTCTCGGAGGAGCAGAGGATGTCTTTGAAAGAGCATTCGTGACGGCTTAAATTTGTCCTTTTTCTTCTCTGACCTCTGCTGGTGAATCCTCATTTACTGAATTATGAAAAAATTTCTATCGCGTATTTGCGAATCGTCGATTCGCGAATAACGAATAGTCCTCGTAGAGATGCCACAACACGAGTCTGTAATAAGCATCTCTTTTACGCGAAATGCATGAAGCCGTGATAAATAAGCAAAGGATCGTAGAAAAAAAAATAAGAAAAGAGGGAAATTGGGAAATTATTCGCACCTGTGTGATGTGAAAAAATGCAGTTTCTGAGTGTTTGAGGGGAAATTATGAGAAGAGATCGTACGATGAATATCTTTTCATTGCGTAGAGAGAAAGTATATGTGACACCCATAGAAGGACACAAATATTTTTCCTCTCATATTATATCGTCCCACTAACGCCGATTTGTTAGAAACTGCATTTGAATGAGATTAAAGTTTAATTTTTTTATTTCTTTTTAAAGAAAAGTCTTAATAATTTTTAATAACAATTTTTAATTATAATTTATTATTATTTTTTTTTAGAGCTTAAAGTCCTTTTAAATAATGTCATTCGTTTATCAAATTTTTTATGTGAAAGACATCGTAGTTGTTCATAAATTTGAAATCACTTCTTGTCGATATAATTGTTTAACGTTTAACGTCGTGATATCACGAGTATTGATTGCCCTCCGGCTAATTCTCTCGTTGAAACAATGGCACATCTACAATGAATATTCAACGTGTCTGTAAATTCACTGGTTTGTATTGCATATGCATTATGATGACTTGAGGTAGACAGTAATAATTGACATGTCCGCGAGACTTGGAAGATGTTGAAATTGCAAAATGTAAAATAATTGACGCAAAAGTTTGAAGTATATGCCAAATCGATTAAAGATTTTCGTAGAAATTGTAGGGATAGAATATGATTAGAAATCTCCTATAGTGTTATTTTTAAATTTTGATGATATGTTCCTTGGAAAATGAAAGAATGATACAACGTTTAAATGTTTTATACAGTTATGAAAATTAAACGAATTCGTAGAAAATAAATAATTTTATATAATATAGATATAATAATAAGAATAAATTGCGCGTTCCTATAAAGTTATTATTATTGATTTAAAAATAATAAGATAATTTGAATGAATCATATCACTTTCTCCTTTCTTTCTTTCTCTCTCTCTCTCTCTCTCTCTCTCTCTCTCTCTCTCTCTCTCTCGTATCGAATTAAAGCCCAATAAATAAACTTATTTGTTATTTTGATGTCCAAATGATGACAAATAATGCCATCTTATTTACTGAGAGAGAAATGCTGATAGAATTGAAGAGAGATGCTAATGATTCAGTTTTTTAACGAAGCACAGATGCTAAAATTAAAGAAGGCGCAGTCTATAACTATTTCGTCTATGCACTGAAAAAAAGTCTTAATTTCAGAGTAATATTTCTATGAGGATAATTTCTTTGAAATTAGGATTTTTTTCAGCGTGGGTTTTAATTTTATTAAAAAACAATAATCAATAAAGAACGGATGATTGAGAACTAAATGTACAGTAATTGATGCAATAATTTACGCAGTAATATGTTTTGATATGAACAAAAATATATTTTCCTTCTTATATAGTTAAATCGAATTCCATTCTTTCTAATTCATCTTTCTTTCTAATTCGTATTTTTTTTCTTAGCACTCATTTAGTTTTACAACTTTTCGACAGTTACACTCTCAGAATTTGTAAATTCTCCTTTTTATGTGTGCACTTTTTGATTAATTACATTACATTGCAACCAATCAAGAACATTACTTCAACATCGATTACTTCAACATCGCTAAAGATGACTCGAATAGAGCTGAAACATTCGATTTAACTATGTAAGAAGTGAAATACATTTTTGTTTATATCAAAACGCACTAATAAACTGCGCATTTAGTTCTCAATCACCCGTGTTTTATTATTATTGTTTTTTATTATCTCGAGAATTCAATTTTTTTATATATCATTTTTATTTTAATTTTATTCTTTTTTCTGAATATACAAGTATGTATATACTTGAAATTTGTATTTAAAAATACTGTGTGAAGTTTTCGTATTAGTGAACGAATGATATCAGAGCGTGACGAAGAAGAACGATTGCGAGATAGTAATCTGTCGGCGTGCCAATAGGTTTGTTAAAGGGCTCCGTCACGGCTGAACGGCCGCGTACTTTGCGCCGCTTGCGGAACGTCTACGGTCAGACCGCATGCGGGATGGGAACCGGCGGGGACGGCGGGGGTGGAGATCGTCTCGAGGACGGCGAGGTCGCCTTTCGGCTTACTGGCGACCGGGATCGCGACAGGGACGAGAAGTCTCTCAGCATAATGAGTCCCTTCGACGAACAGGAGGAATGGGCAAAGATCTCGGAGATCATGGCGTCATTCGGAACTGGTCTTGTACGAGAGTCGGTGTTCGTCAGTGAGCTCGAGAAAGAATTTCAAACGAGACTAGGTAATCTTCTCGCCGCGTACATACTCCGCTTTCGATTTTGTCGGCGAAGATTTTATTGATCTTATAAGCGATTTCTCGAATCAAAATTCATATTCCATTCGCGTATTTTTTTTTAGGAATTATTCGAAATCACTTTATTTTATTTTTTGCATAACTAATTTTTTTGCATAATAAAACTATTTTTTGCATAATAAAACTAATGCTTCTTTTAATATCATACATTTTAACATTTAAAGCTTTTGTCACGATAAAGTTATAGAAACTGCTTTCGAGTTTGAAAATCGACATTCTTGTTATGATAAAGTTGGAAAAATACTTTTGCATTTCCTATACTTCAGGTTTAAGTTCAGACAATAGCAGTCCCATCGTTTCTACATCTGTGGGCCAATGGCTGTCCAATTTGGGTTTCTCGGATTACGAGTCTCTCTTTATTAATTATGGCTTTGACGATCTTGAGTTCATAGTGAGTATAAGACTGCACTTCTCTCTCATATATTGCGATATAGAAGACATTGCGGAAAACCGTTTAATTGCGCGTGATTGCAGAACGGAGTGTTGGACGAGTCGGATTTGTGTGACATGGGGATCAACAGCGATCAGGAACGGGCTATGATCATGGACGCAGTCGGTTTGCTGAACAAACGAGTGGAAAAGCGTAGCGGTCATGGACAATCGGTGGATGAGTGGCTGAAGAGCATTCACATGGAAAATTATACGGAGACATTCAGGAAGCATCTGTACACCGACATGGATCGGGTCAAACGGATTTGGGAGGTCGAGCTGGCGGCAGTCCTCGAGATCCAGAAGCCGGCGCATCGCAAACGCATCCTTGCGTCTGTGAGTGGTCCGAATAGTGCACGCGCGCAAACTCGAAATGGCACAGGAGCGAACTTGGAAGATTTGAATAAGGATCTCAACACACTGGTAAGTGACAGATTAATTTACTATCTAATAGTATTGTGATGCAGTTCCTTTTTGCTGTGAACGATTTTTAAAAGATTGTTTAAAATATTCTGTGCTTCTCTGACATGATTTATGCAACTCGTACATATAATTAGGATCAGCACAAATGAAAAATTATACAAAATTAAGCTCATTAGTTGAAAAGCATCGATAAATAATAAAACTAAAAATATATCACTTTTTTACTTTAAAAGTGATATAAATTCACAAAATGTGATTTTTTTTTTAGTTATTACTTATTTACATGAATAAGTTAAGTAAAAATTATTCTATCAAAAGTAAATTAATTTAATCTCAGGATCTGCCAAATAGCACTCGTGTCGTTTTTAAGGTTTTCAAATACTCATAATATCTTCTACAAGAATAATATTTTTGAGATGTGTTATTTTCATAAATAAAAGTGAGAATCTTCTGCAGAGAACATTTAGAGTCAAGATAATTTAGTAATCGAAGAAGAAATTGTTTTATTTTGAATTTAATTTTGGTTGATCAGGATTAATATAAAAAGATTGATATTTCGAGTGTCACTTTTGATGAAATTATTCCGGATTTGTAATTTTCTAAGTTATTAAACTTGTCACAACTTTTTATAGACAAAGAACTTCATAGACAGAAGAAAATATAATATAATTTCATTATTTTACATTAAAAGCAGACATATAAATTAAGAAATATTTGACACACAAAGAAATATGTGACTCACAAAGAATTCCACCACTGATCGAAGAATTTTATACATTTAAACCACACGAAAGTAGACTGAATACTCGGATTTCACTTCATCCTATATTCATACATGGACTCAGTAAGCGCATAAATTGAGAATGAGAATTGTAATCAAATTTAATGACGTTATAAGCGTAATTTGTTAATCGATGTTTAACAAGTAATTAATATAGTTATATAGTAGGAAAACATATTAAGTAGAATAACTGAAGAAGTAAAAGTCGAAATGTTGAATTTTAGATAAATTACATAATTGTAGTAGAATTATTAATAAATACTAGATATTATATTGCTTGTAACAGCACCTCATTATTCATTTGTAATTGTCACAACTTAAAAAAATTTTTTTTAAAGGTGAAAAGAAAATGACATTTAATCATGTTTCTAAAAATATATTTCTTTTGCAGATATTGATTGATTAATTAATTATTTTCTATTAAGTTGAAAAATGATTTTTTTGAAAAACTTAATTTTTTTAGTTGTGTTACTTTTAAAGTAAGGGAATGATGTATAAAACGCAGAAAATGAATTTTTTTGTCAATAAATTAAATACTAAAATTCGTCGTCTTGCAAATTGATACATTGATAGGATCGGTGAACGAAGATAATATGTTCAACGGAGATGTCTGACAAGAGCGCACACTTCGCCAGCAAGGGTGGAATCGAGGGCGGGCGGTGATGTGGCAAGCTCGATCGCTTCCGACGTGCTTTTCGCTTGATTGCGTCATAATGTAAATATCGTAGCTAATTGGAGGCTCGGTATTGTGATGCACGCGTATACATGTGTTCTCTACGAGATGAGCATCTCTCGAGGCGCTTTTTGTTCGGATGCCTTCACCATGTCAGGCGTCGATAAGTACATCTCGCTACTCACCCGTATCTCCCCCGCTCATGTCCTTTTAATTAGCTCATTAAATCCACTAAACGTCTCCGGCGACCGGATCGCTCGGATCGCGTCATTCTCGCACTCGATAATCCCGACAAATTGGTCTCTTTTGCCTTTTCAGCCGGTCTCTTCCTCCCATGATTTTTCGCAGCTATCGAATTCGACGAACCATAGTTTGAACTCTGGCACCCTCGTTGGTAACGCTTACGGATTTTCGTAGTCCATACGCTCTTCAACATTCGAATTTCGTGTTCTCTCTCTTTTTCTCTCTCACTCTTGCGTTTTCATTTAACCTCCCTTTCGTTCGAGTCTTTTGCAATTTGTCGGAATAGCAATACCCGGAATTATATGCATAGGCCAGATGGAGCGGACGATTCGGGTTGTAATCCGAATTCGAGTATCGCGCCCGCTCGACTCGAATCCAATTTGTTTGCAATAGCTGAAATATCGCGACTATCGACGCCACATGATTCACCATTTTGGCATACAACCGGTAAAAGGTTTCTTTCTGCTGTAACGGTTTACAATACAATGCGTTTACGAAGGTAATTACACGCACAAAGTAAACTACGGGACGTATTCGACTTGGTAATATGCCGTATAGAACTTTGGATGGCGCAATATTTATTCCTTTTTTTTTTTTTACATTGCACATAGTCTAGCGTTTCGTTAAAGCCGGTTGGTCCAGCAGATTCTTGTCATGATAAAGCTATAAAAAAATATCTACCAGGAAAATTGCAACCTCGGGGCAGACATGCCAGTTTCTATTCGGAATTGCACGGAAATTGGTATTTATCTGTAAGAGGGAATGTAAAAACTCTGCTTTTTGATATACAATTTTTTGTGAAGATTGCACGAGAGTAAATTTGAATAATTTGAATATTTTTCGTAATAAAAAATTTGTTGAAACGTACATACCTACTTTTAAATAACTTTTAAATAATAGTAAAAATTTATTGTTAACTATTGTTTTATATGTGTTAAATTTTTTTTTGACGTTTTCACAGAAATTTTTATCAAAAATTAACCACGCGATTTGTGGGTTACTTTCGTGTCTTGATACATCATTAAATGCCAACGTTTTGTAAATATTGCAATTCACTTCATCAGGATAAGAAAGCAACATATTGATACAGTATTAAATTGTTTCTCGTACTAATGAAGTAAACTGTAATATTTATCAAATGTTGACATTTAATTATATAGTTATTATATTATTATATTATATTATATTTTATTATATTATATTGCCCAAATAAAAACAACAAGTTATTATGATATCAAAATGATGTTAAAATGATTCCAAAATGATTATTAAAAGTCATTTTTCAACCATTTCCAATTCATTATCATGACTTGTTCTGCTTGGGTTGCAATTTGTGCTTAAAGCACAAAAGATTACGTATTCCGCGAACAAACGATCTAACTGCGCATCAGTCCCTAACAAATTGAGGATTGCCGGTCGGATGATCCGTTTGTGATGCGGGAACGGTCTCAAATCTGGTTGCGCGATGTTATTTCCGTAGAAGACGAACATACAGCAGCTGAAGGAGGAGATACGGGAGAAATTGCCGGAAACAACGGCGGAGGGTAACGGAGGCACATCGATAACCAGTGGCACGAATGCGACGGCCACGGGTACATTAAGGCACCGCAAAAACAGGCCGGCGCCTCAGCCACCCCAGCGACCTAGTTCGCATAATGGGGCGATTTCGGCGCCGGAACAGCTCGAGATCAGGGCTCCGTCCGAGCTACTTTTTGGAGTGCCTTCCACCCTCAAGACGCAATGGAGGCATCAACCGAAGGCTCTAGTCACCGGCTGCGTCACGTACGTCGCTAACGTAAGTTTACTCTTGCTTTTACGTTGTCTTTCTATCATTGTTATTTTCGAAAAGAAACCTATTTATTCTCTAAATATATATATATATATATTGTAGTAGCAATTATTTCCGATCGTTATTAAAATTATTTGAATGGCAAATTTTTTCCCGCAACTGTATCGTATGAGAAACAAATTTGTAGATCTTTTGTTGTGATATAGTTTGATATATAAACTTATTATATATGAATTGCATGAAAAATGTTTGATTTAAAAGATTTATGTTATTATTAAAAGATTATTGTTGAACTATTGTCGGTTTTTTTAAATAACTAACTATATATGTTATAAGTTTACTTATATAATTTTTCATGTTTATAAAGTTCTGTTAAACTTATCTATTGTCTTATTCTGTTAATTATGCATGACGAGTGAATTATGACACTCGTTCATCGCTTCAAGGCCGATTGTGATTATAGTTAATTCGTAGAATGCAGTAATAGGTTTCGTGCAGAAAATTGTCCATTAATTCCTCGGAATATTTCAATCCAAGAGAGAATCCATTTACATTCAGAATTGTACTCAGAATATTTAAATAGTAATTACAGAATTCTTGTAGAAAGTAGATGTTCTGTGATCCATAATGCTTAAAAACTTCACCTAAATCGTCTGTTGTGTCGGTTCTTAGGAAAAAAGCTTTTTCTGTTTATAAATAATATAGTATCTGGGCTCCACTGTCGTCAAGGAATTACGCGGCACCGAGTCGACGAAAAAGTCAATACAGAAGCTGAAGAAGACCTTTCGAGAACCTAGAATCACCCCTGACATTATGCTGGCTATCTCTTATCGTGGCGTTCGTTTTCTCAACACGTTAACTAATGTAAGGTCCTTTTTTTCACAACAAACATTTTACACGTGTAAGACGAAAATAAGACAAACATGTTCTTTATGACCGATACTATAGGAACCAATTTGCGAGCACGAGATCCGTAACATTCATTGCGCCTGTCAAGATGCTGACGATCTTACTCACTTCGCGTATATCACGAAGGACCATGCCAGTCGTACGCACTTTTGTCACGTATTTTGTGTACCAACAATGGTAAATATCTATTTTATAGAGAACTTAGGAAAAAATCGCATCCTGTTACATATACGATTCTTTACGATTTTATTTGACGCTCGGACGTACGAAATTCCGTCATTCCGTCATTACAGGATCAAGCGACAGAGGTCATTCTGACTCTGGGTCAGGCTTTTGAGGTAGCTTATCAGATGGCATTGAGGGACAAGCTCGGTGGTCACGCTATTCGGTCTCAATCCGCCAATCAACTAGCAACGCTCGCTGGATCGTCAAAGTCAACGATGCCCGCCAAAATGTCCGTGTCTCCCGATTCCACGTCTGATTTCACCAGTCGTGACACGGATCATACCATGATACTCAATTCCACGTCGTGCGCGAATCCCAAGATGAAATCGAGATCGAAGTCCATACCTAATCCAAATCTCCATACCGTTAATCCAAATCCAACGCAGGACAGTAACTCCAACTCCAGTTTAAGCTCAACGACGACCACCGCGAATTGCAATCCCAGCTCGAATTCTGCCTCGAGTCCTAGCGCGAACTCGATCACCAGTTCTAACTTGAACAGCACCACTAATCAGACCACTAAGCCCTTGGTTACTCACGGCCGTTCCCATTCCGTCAATGACATCAAGGTAAACGGTAATCAATTGAAGTTAGCACCAGCGCCGGTGGACGATATTGGTATCGGAGTGAAAGATATGAAACCCGGTTCCAGAGCTCCGATCGCGCTCTCCGAGGAGCTGTAAGCTGTATTCCGAACCGAAATGCATGATATCGCTGTAATACATGATCGCGTACCAATCTATTTGACAGAACCGCGTTGTTTTTGTGTCGGCACAAATAACAAAGCTCTACTAGCATCATAGAAATGATTGTCGTAATTTTTCAATCTTTCAATTTAGAAACACATTTAATAGCATTTATAACGAACGTGAAATTGAAAGCAATATTTCATTATTCGCAAAATTTGCATAAAGAGTCATGCAAAGCATCATACATAATAAGGTCTGTTTTTTGCTGAACTTTTTGCACGTTCATCTTTTTTCTTTTCTTTTGTTGGAAAAAAAAAAAGAGAAAAGATGAACGGTACAAAAAACAAGAATAATCATAGCAAGGAGTTCGGCTAAATTGAACAAATACATGTCTTTTGCGATTTGAAAATTAATAATAATTACAAAAACGCGCACGATATTCTCTCGACCGATTAGCGGTATTAGTCGGGATTACGCGGTTACTGTAACTATAGTATAGTTCCTTGACGCATAAGGAACGAATATCTTTTATTGTGTCTTTTTATGCGATTGGATTTGGTCATTTCGCCAATGGTGTATATATTTTTAATGGGATGCACTCGTATATATACATCACCGCCGGAAGGCAGGAACTTTTATGGGATTCAACTATTATGGAATATATAACGAATGATATGTATATGGCCTTGAGAATGGCGAAGGTAAGTAACAGAACATCATTCCTCATCCTGCACCTTCAAACCTTGACTTTCGACTAATTTGACTGATTTTACAATGATGCTGTGATCTTGATCTTGAATACAGTGCAAGGTGCGCATTGGCCAAGATGATTCATCGAGACAAGTAAGCGATCGTTCACTGCGGGCACTTCCGGCGGATAATGAAACGCATTAGATCTTTCTTCCTTAGAACGCGTCGTTAAAATAAGCAGTATTATTACGTCATTAACAGAAGTATAAATTAAAAAACGCATTATAACGTCTTTTAGATATATTTTATAGACATGCATGTCTAAGAGACGTCGTAAAGATGTTTTTAGACATATATGTTGAACGCTCACAACGATATTATTTAGCGAGATGTAAAATTGCTATAATAACGTTGGATGTACAATTCTCAATGTGCAGCTTTAATCTGTCGCGGATAAGCTCGGCAGTTTCGATTTTCGCTCGACGTACATATCGGGCGTTTATTTGTCTTGAAAATGCTATTTGTGGCATCGAACGCGTTGACATTCGCCATCGGATCACGGGAAAGGAAAGGACGCGAAGGAAAAGGTGCGACGCGCTAATAAGCGCACCAATGCTCAATATCGATCCCTCGTTAAACGTTAACGGCGACCAACGAATCCGTTCCGTGTTCTCCCCCATCCCTCTCCGAGTGATTTCTGATACCCTATTCCCAAGTTCCGATTTCGAGTTGCCACCGTTTCCTCGACGTTTTATTCTCCAAGACTGAGAGTCCTTATCTCGTTTTTATATTTCGTGATTTTAGTGTAAAATGTATAATATATAGAAAGAAAACTAGATCGAAAGACAAAAGAATTTTAATATATTTATCCAGCGAGAATCTCGCGGATAGGAAATATATGCGAATATAGCATCGAATATCTATCGAATTTTACTCCTGGTACTCGAACACTATCCGTTGAGAAGCAGGTAACAAAAAAAACATGTGACGCTTTCAAAAATGTCACGATTGAGCAGAATATGCATTATACATCTATATACTTTTAATTAAGAAAAAGTATTAAGTGACTTTTTCTTCTCCGTCTATGATGCAATTAAACTACAGAGAGAATCAAAGTTCATCACAGAGAGAATCGATTCAACGTGAATCTGACATTATGGCATTATTATATTGATAACAACGTGCGTAATGTGAGTATTGTTCCATTTTTATTACGTGCGGGCCTAAAGGACCTGGGTAGCTATCTTACAAAACTATCTTTAACGATATATTAGGTCTATACAGTCGACGACATATAAAGAGAAGCTACAGCGAAATGAAACTTTATGTAGAGTTAGAGACACGTCCTCTTTGTATGTTCTCTCATCTAAACCAAAGAAGTATAAATATAAATATGCATACATACACAAACACGCATTTATACACACACACACACACACACACACACACACACACACACACACACACACACACACA